TATTTACTAAAACCAACGATTAAAACATAATTTAAAAAATAAAAATAATAAGAAAAATATAAAATATAATTAAATAGCATAATAAAAAATAAAAAATTACTTCAATTAAAATTTTGATATTTATAGAGCAGCATTTCTTAAAAAAAATGATAAAATATAAATTAATTTAATATTTACATATAAATTCAACCAAATAATAATAATAATAAAATATAACTAAAATAACCTTTTAGTTACATAAATAAAATTTATTTACCTACTTTTTATCTCCCAATAATGTTTCCTACAAAACAACATTAAGAAAAAAATTAGAATTGTAAATAAATTAATCAATAGCTCAAATTAAAGTTAAATCAATTAGGAACAAAGAATAGAAGAGAAAAAGAGAGGAAGTTGAGAAAATATAAATTAAAAATAACATTAATATAATGTAGTTATAAACAAAAAAAAAATATTCAGTAGCATTTTGGTGTAAGTGGAAGGAGGAGAGACAAATAAGGGAGGAGAAGAAAGAAGAAGAAGGAAGGCAAGAAAAAAATGAATGGCATACGTAGATTTGGTAATATATAGAGCATTTTACCTATGTGTTTGTTATTGGAATAATATTTATCGATATAATCCACATAGGCACAAAGTGAATTTCAACAGAATAGAAAAAATGTAAAAATTTTGAAGTCGTGCTTTTTATTTATTAACAAGATTTGTGTTGGTAATTTAACATCTTCATTTTTACCGACCACATTCAGGCAAGTTAAAGTGCAATTGGACATTCCCGCCACCCATTACTAATGAGAGATATGCTGGCAGCCAACTTTTCCTATGTAGGTCATGATTTGTAAAAAGGTAGAACCAACATTTTGCACCAACTATTGGTTGCAAGGAAAGCAGACCCACCGACGAGAAGCTTGTTGGTAAAATGAAAAAGCTGACCAACTCCTGTAGTTCATCAGAATCTTGCCTCACCAGTGCCATCACCGAGAAGATGATGGTTGCAGAAAAGTATAGTTACCGACAAGAAACTTGTTAGTATATTGGTAGGCTATCACCGAGCAAATGCACGTTGCATCATGACTAAGTTTTCGAGCTGAGCTTCTTGGATGAGAGCAAATCTAACCATTGGCCAAAAAAGTTTTGCGGACTTAATATTACCAACAAGATTCATGTTTCTATAATATGAAATAACTAATAAAGTACTCATCTAAACTTTTTTATTTTTTTTGAATTTTTTGACATGGAACGGGTTTGAAATCGTCTAGGAGAGGGGGAAATGCACTTAACAATGGCTAATGCCATTGACCTCAAAGGCCAAGTGCTGAACTTTAAATAATATAACTTAATTTAATTTTACTGTTTTACTTTGTGTAGACATATTCTTTGTCAGTGAAGTAGTAGATCACCGACAAAAATTTTTACATCGGTGATTTTTGGTCAATAATTTAAGGTTTTCTAGTAGTGGAGAAATATTATAAAAATGGATGAATATTATCCGCTCAAACGCAGCAGCACATATATTTGGTTTGCTTCTTCAGTTTGTAAGCAGAAAAAATGGATGCATTTTTGGGGTACTTTGCGGCTTTGTTTCTGAGTGCTTTTTATGATTGACGCAGATGTTCGCTACTACAATGAATTTGTTGTTAGGAAAACTTCATCCCCTTTTTCTCTCCTTAAGTTGTTCTCCTCCTCCTTCTTCTTCTCTTGATTATCAGCTAAGGGTGCGGTATTTTTGTCTTTCCATAGCCCAAATTGACAAATTTTCCTCACAACAAAGTCATAGTAGTGAACATCTGCTTCAGTCACAAGAAGCACTGATTTCCACTTATGTCAAGGTGCCATTCTCAATCTCTCACTGAATGGATAATCAAAAGCGAAGGTTTTTTGAAAACAAGGATGCAGCTGTGCTATCCAACCAAAGCTTGTGTTGGGCTCGCTTGAATGAAGGAGGGCTTGCATTAGAAATAGCTCAGCTTTGCAGCTTAATTTGGCCTGAGTGGCCGAAGGCATACTGTAGGCAGGGTGCAGCTCTGATGTTGCTGAAAGTAAGCTAATATCTGGAAGGTTCCCTTTGATTTTATCATTTTAAGTTGATATTTCTAGTCTATGATCTGAGTTTCATTTTAAATAATCTCAGGATTATGGGAAAGCTGTTGATGCTTTTTATAGCTAGGCTTGGAAGATGTCTCTTGATAACAAGGACATTGAACATGCTTTTAGATAACTTGTGAACTATGCTTCGGCTACAATTATTAGTATGTGGAAGTACATAAAACTAAAATTTGATATGTATATACTCTCATTAGTAATGGGTGGCGGGAATGTCAAATTGCACTTTAACTTGCCAACATGAATGTGGTCGGTAAAAATGAAGATGTTAAATTACCAACACAAATCTTGTTAATAAATAAAAAACGCGACTTCAAAATTTTTACATTTTTTCTACTCTATTGAATTTCACTTTGTGCCTATGTGGATTATATCAATAAATATTATTCCAATAACAAACACATAGGTAAAATACTCTATACATTACCAAATCTACGTAGGCCATTCATTTTTTTCTTTCCTTCCTTCTTCTTCTTTCTTCTTCTTCTTTCTTCTTCTCCCTTATTTGTCTCTCCTCCTTCCTCTTACACCAAAATGCTACTGAATTTTTTTTTTTGTTTATAACTACATTATATTAATGTTATTTTTAATTTATATTTTCTCAACTTCCTCTCTTTTTCTCTTCTATTCTTTGTTCCTAATTGATTTAACTTTAATTTGAGCTATTGATCAATTTATTTACAATTCTAATTTTTTTCTTAATGTTGTTTTGTAGGAAACATTATTGGGAGATAAAAAGTAGGTAAATAAATTTTATTTATGTAACTAAAATTAAATTTTAGTTATATTATTATTATTATT